ATTCTATTTTCTTCTGTGTTCTATGTAAAAAGACTCTTTGGGCATCTGAGATCAAATCTTTTACTATGTTTTTTTAAATGTTTATATATGTATATATATTTTTTTTTTATTATTATTATTATTTAATATTAATAAACTTGATTTAATTATTTAAATATTTTATTTATTTTCTACTCTATTTTCCTCTGTGTTCCAATGGGGGGGGGGGGAGGGAAATTTGAGATAAAATATTTTACTTCAATGTCAAATCTTAATTTTTTTATTAATTAATTTGTTTTGGAGGAAAAAAAATACCCTTTTAGGCATCTAAAATACAAGCATAATGGTAAATCCTACACTAAGGAAAAAGCATGATAATGCTTAACTCTTGACATATGATTTCTTTAGAAGACCATGGTATATCGTTTTCAATTAAAACCATGTAGTTACATTGCAATTACTAATAAAGTTACTGATCAACCAGTAACTTCAGTTATTTGTACTCATATTTAGCACTTTAAATCAATACCCCACCATAAAAACAATATACACTCCAACAGATGAGCACAAACAAAAACACGCGTCATCGCCCCTGACACAATACAAGACACACTTGCAGCTATCAGTCAAGCTTCTTCCAGAACGTGACAGCAAATTCACAACACGCCAGCATCTTTCGTGCACTCTCGCCCGCTCATCTACCGATCTCCGACAGGCCCCTGCCACCCCACCTCGCCACACACATAACAACCGGGCCAGGAAGGAAAAGTGCTCTCACCGAACAAATGACGGGGTGTTTCTGCTACCGAGTCATAACAAAATACAATCAAAAGAGACTTGTATTCCTGCTCGCTTCATGGTTCAAATAGATAAAGCGCCTCCTGTCTTCTCTCGCACAATGCGCTGTGTAGTCTAGAAGGGCCAGGGTGACGCTCCAGGGACCAGATAGGAGTATTGATAATGCTGACTGCATGTCCAATTGATTTTGGGAAGCTGAGACAGTGGCTGTGAGATTCTTTCTTTTTCCTGATACGCTGTGTCAAGCAGACGGGTGCTGCTTATGATGGGTTTAGTGTCAGCACACACATCCGGCAGAAATGGCCACATGGTGCCAGCTCCCTTAGGGGTGGTATCTAACACAAAGGACACCACATGAACACACACAGCACAGTAACATTAATATATAACAGCCAGGAGGCTCTGATATCTTCATGTGATCTTTCTGAAGCACTTACTTTACAATGTAAAGACCACAGATCTGTTGCAAAACCTAGTGGGCTGCCTTGCTGTCTACATATGGTCAAATAAAGCTTTAAGCATACACAAATACACACAGCATATTCAATCATTTGTGTATATTTACATATTCAGCATATTCCAACTAATTTAATTATTATATTTAAAATATTATTTAATCACACCTTTCAAGTATCTAATGAATTAAAACTTTTTATGAAAATCAACACTTGCGCACAGCCAGGACTGTCGCAATGCATTCTGGGATTGACTTCTCCACAAAGGGTACATGTAATGCTGACTTAGAATGTGGCCAGAACAAGGTATAATTAAGTTGACTTTTTTTAAAATGACTTATTATTTATTTTAATTATAATTAAATAAAATGTATAAATGCGTTATTATAAAAAGAGTTTACAATATATGACATATATTATAATAGTTTTAATTAATGCATTTATTTTATTTTACAAATTTGTCAAGAGACAAAGTTCTGGAGAAAACCCCAAAACACCTTTCTTTCTTCCTTCCTTTTAAATATTTTATATATAATTATTTTATTTGTAATAAAATAAAAATGCCAAAAATACACTATTTTATTATAAAAAGAAAAAAGTATATATTTTATGCACATTGTATGTGCTGTGTTGCAAGATGTAAAAATAAAAAAATGTTGTCAATTTTGTTTATTCCAGACTAAAAGTTTTAATAATAAAAATGAAATAAGAATATTTTAATTAATGCATTTTATTTTATTCTACAAATTTGTCAATAAATGAAGTTCTTGAGAAAACACCCTTTAGTTAGTTATAAATAAAAATAAAAAATGAATAAAATACACACTTTATTTTATTATAAATACAACATAAAAATATAAAATGAATATAAAAAATTATAAAAAAAGTAAATATTTTAATTATTAATTCTTTATTTTCTTCATTAAATAATTATTAATTATTCAACATTTTTGTCAACACATTAAGTTCGGGGGAAAAAAATATTTTGAGCATCTGAGATGATAAATGCTGGCCTTGAGGCAGTAAAGTTGCCTTAAAAAATGCCTACTTAGTGTATACATAGGCTCACTATTGCGCACAGCCAGGACTGTCGCAATGCATTCTGGGATTGACTTCTCCACAAAGGGTACATGTAATGCTGACTTAGAATGTGGCCAGAACAAGGTATAATTAAGTTGACTTTTTTTAAAATGACTTATTATTTATTTTAATTATAATTAAATAAAATGTATAAATGCGTTATTATAAAAAGAGTTTACAATATATGACATATATTATAATAGTTTTAATTAATGCATTTATTTTATTTTACAAATTTGTCAAGAGACAAAGTTCTGGAGAAAACCCCAAAACACCTTTCTTTCTTCCTTCCTTTTAAATATTTTATATATAATTATTTTATTTGTAATAAAATAAAAATGCCAAAAATACACTATTTTATTATAAAAAGAAAAAAGTATATATTTTATGCACATTGTATGTGCTGTGTTGCAAGACGTAAAAATAAAAAAATGTTGTCAATTTTGTTTATTCCAGACTAAAAGTTTTAATAATAAAAATGAAATAAGAATATTTTAATTAATGCATTTTATTTTATTCTACAAATTTGTCAATAAATGAAGTTCTTGAGAAAACACCCTTTAGTTAGTTATAAATAAAAATAAAAAATGAATAAAATACACACTTTATTTTATTATAAATACAACATAAAAATATAAAATGAATATAAAAAATTATAAAAAAAGTAAATATTTTAATTATTAATTCTTTATTTTCTTCATTAAATAATTATTAATTATTCAACATTTTTGTCAACACATTAAGTTCGGGGGAAAAAAATATTTTGAGCATCTGAGATAACCGTTTACATAAATGCTGGCCTTGAGGCAGTAAAGTTGCCTTAAAAAATGCCTACTTAGTGTATACATAGGCTCACTAGGTATTGGAACAGAACGCACAAAAATGCAAGCAGACATAAACTGGGCAAATGGGTGAGACAGCCTAAACCAAGCCTAAACAGAAAACAAGACAGAGACAGTGTCCTACAGGACAGCATCAGATCCTCCAGGTCAGCCTGGACTAGAGAGAGACATTGCGGTAGAGGAGGTGTGTCTGCGCTCTGCGGGATAAACAGGGCTGTGCAGTCTTTTGAAGGCACAAAGACAAAGCGATGAGCACTGATAAGAGGAGGCGCCACACTGCTTGAAGCCCTGAGAGCTGAGCAATCACACACAGACTGATAAGCATCGGCCCATAAAGACGACTCCTGCAGCTCTCCTCCAGACGGGCCAGAGAAGAGAGAAAGAGAGGGAGGGGAGCTGTGTGATAAAGATGGTTACTTTCTTTCTTTTCGAGGTGAGGGTTTAAAGGAGGGGCGACGTGAGATGATGACGAGACTGTTTTCTTGACAGGAAGTCACTAGATGCAAAGGAACATCAGGTCCGTTTGAAGACACCGCAGAGAGTCAGTGCAATCTCAAAGATGAAAACTCCTGACAGTGCGATGCAGCTAATGTGTGTCTACAGACCAAGCACTAAACATCACAACAGTCAACACGGCCTACCTTCTACTGACAAACCACATTTCGGAGCTTCGCAAATGTGGTGCTTTGATTTCAATGAAACATGAAAGACTGTGCCGCACACATATATGTGTAAGCATACACAGCAAAATATCACTTTGTGACTGAAAAAGAGCAAACAGTGCAGTGTACTTGAATTCTCTGAAATGTATTTTCTCTCTTGTTTTGTTTAGACTGTATATGTCTACACATAAGGAGTTTCAAAATGGAGAGAAATCTTTTAAAAGTACAAGCCTGACCAGATCTTTGTTGATTGGATTATCTTAACATGACAATTGGAGGAATGAAAAAAAAAAGGAATCAACATCCCTCCAAACAACATCCATCTAATCTAACACAAAGGTCACAATAAGCCTATTTACCAAATGTAGACTGCTGATAGTTTTTCAGCCAGGTTGTATCTGTTTCTGTGTAACATACCATGAAGTTAAAATGCATAAAGTGTTCTAATGCTCAGAAAAGAAAGTTGAGTCAAGCTAGAGAGGATTCTTGCAGATTCATCATACTGGTAACTGTTTTTTGTAATCCAAATGCTTCAGATCATGTTGAAAAAAACCATAATAGCAGCCAGTGGTCTTACCTGAGCCGGTATCTATGACTGTAGACTGGCCTCTACGGTCGGCCACCAGGCGAGACGAGCCAGGCATGCTAACGGGTTCAGAACGCACCGGCTGGATTCTGCAACATAAGGACAAGCGATATTAAAAAATTGTGAATTAGACTCCTACACATTACACTAGCATTAGCCACAACAGTGTGAGTGACGACAGTTAGCAATGTGAAGTGTGAATTAAGAGGTTCAGTTAATTACCTAACAAATTTAATCTATTTAATGACATAGTATGCTGATTAATTAATTCAGCATTTAAATATTAAACATATCTCAATAATTGCTGTAAAAACACCACCAAATTATGAAATTATAGAAAGATAAAATGATAGAACAGCAGACAGAAAGATAGACAGATAGATAAAATGACAGACAGACAGACAGACAGATAGATAGATAAATAGATAGACAGACAGACAGACAGAATGACCGACAGACAGACAGACAATGAACAATAGACAGACAGACAGACGAAACAATAAAATGAATGATAGATGGACAGAGAGATAGCAGTGTTTGTACTGTACAAGTGCTGGCTAGAGATGGTCAGTATGTGTATTTAGTGAATTTCTGTGGTTAGTAACATGAGTCTACGCTGTCACATTGTGAATTGGGTGTTGATGATGGCAGCTGGTAGAGACGAGCCAGGCATGCTAACGGGTTCAGAACGCACCGGCTGGATTCTGCAACATAAGGACAAGCGATATTAAAAAATTGTGAATTAGACTCCTACACATTACACTAGCATTAGCCACAACAGTGTGAGTGACGACAGTTAGCAATGTGAAGTGTGAATTAAGAGGTTCAGTTAATTACCTAACAAATTTAATCTATTTAATGACATAGTATGCTGATTAATTAATTCAGCATTTAAATATTAAACATATCTCAATAATTGCTGTAAAAACACCACCAAATTATGAAATTATAGAAAGATAAAATGATAGAACAGCAGACAGAAAGATAGACAGATAGATAAAATGACAGACAGACAGACAGACAGATAGATAGATAAATAGATAGACAGACAGACAGACAGAATGACCGACAGACAGACAGACAATGAACAATAGACAGACAGACAGACGAAACAATAAAATGAATGATAGATGGACAGAGAGATAGCAGTGTTTGTACTGTACAAGTGCTGGCTAGAGATGGTCAGTATGTGTATTTAGTGAATTTCTGTGGTTAGTAACATGAGTCTACGCTGTCACATTGTGAATTGGGTGTTGATGATGGCAGCTGGTAATGTGAGCAGCATTGTGTGTGAATGTGTGTTTAGTGTCGGCACCTGAGGCTGTGCAAGTCCAGGTCATCTGTGTCGAAATCAAGAAGAGGCTGCTGGGTGTCGCTGGGCCCCTGTGACTGTAGTACAGAGGAACTGGAGGAGATAACAGTGGTCTGACCCGACGGATGGATGGTCTTGAACTGAAACTGAGGGCCCATCCAGAGTCTCCTGTGAGGGCCTGTGTGGGTCACAATTTCCACCTGTAAAGTATAACATCAATAGAGATGAGCACTTAAACAGCTTTTGCAACAATTAACTTCAGCAAAGTAATATATTTTTGAGTGCACAATATTCAGGTGAATCAAACAGGACTTTATTCTATGCATCAGGTTTTTGTAATTATTTATTATTAGTGCTATCAAACGATTAATCGAATCCAAAATAAAAGTTTTTGTTTATTTAATATATCTGTGTGTACTGTGTATATTTACTATGTATATATGAATACACACACATACAGTATATATTTTGAAAATATTTGCATTGTATATTATTTATATTACAGATAAATATATTTAATATATAAACAGCATATTTTTCTTAAATATATACATGAATGTTTATGTATTTATATAGACACAATAAATATACACAGCACACACACACATATATTATGTAAACAAAAACGTTTATTTTGGATGCGATTAATCGTTTGACAGCACTATTTATTATTATTATTTATTTTTATTTTATTACATTTCTCCACTCACACAACATCAGTTACATCAACAGCAAAAAATTTAAAAAAAAAAAATCACAATTCACAATGCAAAACATTTGTTTTCTTATTAGAACAAATGTTCTCAACTGGTAGATATATATGATTAAAATAAAATAATAATAATAATAATAATAATAATAATAAATGATAAAAAAAATTATAAAAAATGGGTCCATGTATTATTATTATTAATTTTTCTTAAAATATAATATATTATCTGAATTCCTAAAAAAATCACAATTCACAATGCAAAACATTTGTTTTCTTATTAGAACAAATGTTCTCAACTGGTAGATATATATGATTAAAATAAAATAATAATAATAATAATAAATGATAAAAAAATTATAAAAAATGGGTCCATGTATTATTATTATTAATTTTTCTTAAAATATAATATATTATCTGAATTCCTACATTTCTGATGACTATTAAAATTATTAAGTGATAAAAAATAAATTTCTGATGTTCCACTTTGTTGTCTTATCACTTAGCACATCTTCGAAATCTCATACATGAAACTTAACAGAAAAACACTTTATAAAAGCTGAAACGCCTAATTAATAACAAAGTATTTAATATTTAGAATAACATTCAATTAAAAAAAAAAAACTTATGTGGGCAAGTGTCTGTTTTTGACCAACAGTATCAAATCTGGGGAGGGGAAGCGAGGTTAGACAGACGCCTCTCTTCCTCCCCAGTGGACCGCATTAACATGGCACAGAAAGACACTAACATCATGAAGCAAGAGAGAGGGAGGAGTGGAGGAGAAGACCGTCCATCCAGCCAGCATCTCTCTCTCCTCTTCATTTCTCCATCTTTTCTGAAAGAGCATGGTGTGGGGTCAACTCTTCTGTCCTCTTCCTGTCACATCTGTGTAAATGAGGCCAGCGGTATGTGTGTGTTTTTTTTCTCTGTAGTTAACACCAACGGTGTCGCACAGCCCTGAGAGAAACAGATGCGGCACTGGCTTTTATTCTGCTTTCGTGGGGGCCATGGCCAGATGTTGCCCCCCTCTGCACTCTCTCCACAATTCGCCTTGAGCCCGCCATATTGCGGCCGCCTCTCACGGACAGCACTTATTACACACAGCCTGCTGCCACAGCACTCACAGAGGACTGTGCTTTTTATGCTATGTTGCCATAACATACAACAGACAAGCAGACTAATTGCAATCGCATATAAAGCAGATAAATAGAGCCATCAACAGGGTTTAGGCTGTGTTTAGCCAATAGCTGTCGCTGCAAGTGTTAATGGTGTCACTAGGCAGGCGGGTTGTGATGGGGATGTATGCTGTTGCTAATGCTGATGCATTAACAACCTTAAGATTTAAGAGCTTTGGCTGGGGTCAGTCAGGCCACACAAAAACTGCCACACACATGCTGTACCTGTTGCGTCTGCGTAACTAGAGTATTACATCATAAACGTACAAAGGTCTGAGACCACTTTGTAAATCTGGGATTAAGAACCTAATTTAAAAATGGGAAATATATAAAAGTTTTGAGATTCGGAATAATTTAGGAAATGCTGAAATTTATATTATTTGTTTTTTTCCACTTAAAACTTTTCATTATGCTGATAATACCATTTGTAATTTAAAATAACAAGAACAATTTTTACTAATGTTCATAAACATTTAGATCCCACTGTACATGTCTAAATAAATAAATAGTGGCATTATTGATCAATTAAAACTATTAAAACTACATTTATTGAAATAAAATATAAAAATTTGAAAAACAAATCTAATTAAAATGACAAAATCCCAAAATAAAATTACTAAAATTACAAAAAAAAAATTAAAAAAAAGATGAATGATAAATGAATGTCAAAATATCAATAATTACTTTCATAAATAAATAAATAAATAAAGTGTGTTTTCTAATAAATCAGGCAATCATGCATAATAGTTTGGATGACAAAAACTGGAAAAAATTAAATAATGCAATAAGATCCATTTTGGGTGAGCACAGCTGATAATGAAACAAGACATTTTTTATGACTGATACCAGCAACAACTCGGTTTCACTGAAATGTACGATGTGTGTAGCTTGAGTGTTGTTTATTAGGGTTAATATTAAACCAAGGCAGAGATGAAGGCCATGGGAGGAGGCTGAGAGTTCTGACTCACCTGTGAGAGCCATTCTTCGTCCTCCTGGCCACTGTGATCGGATGCCAGACTGTCATAAGACTCATGCCGGGTAATGGGGCCAGGGCTGCCAGGAGGAGCCACTGCACAGAGAAAGAAAATAATAATTATGTACGAAAAATATATATTTTTTTTATTCAAATAAAATAAAAATACAGAGTACTTATTAAAATAAAATGCAGTGCACTTCTTTAAAGACTCTATTACAATATAATATAATATAATATGATATGATATATGATATATTATAATATAATGGGTCACCTTGCTAACAATAATGAGTAAACAGTAAATTATAAAATCTTCAGCTCTTTCCATGAAGTCTCTGTAAGAAGTGCATGGTACATCACTTTGCATAAAAACACCAATAAAACACCTACATAGTAATTAACATTTTTGGGCTGTGGAAAGCCAACAAAAATGTTCACAGTATGTTTTGGTATGCGAGTGAGAGCGGGACATATAAAAGAGTGCAGAGCTTTCAGCAGCAAAGACAGCATGGGCAGTGACAGAAGGAGCACTTGGAGGCTTCGCTAAGCAGGCGCCAAGTATTCAGACTAATGTGCACAATCAGTGGTTTCCCTTCCAACCTCCAGGCAAACACATGCCTTTGTTACCAATGTACATAATACAGCAGTGAATAATAAAGATGTCAAGCCCTCATCTGGAGGACACAAGGAGCCCGTCGCTCTTGTTGCCTCTTCTTCACTCTATCTGTCTCGCAGACATAAGTGCTCACACACCAGGTGTTCAGACACACAGGATGAGGTGTTCCTGCCAGCTTCATGCCGCAGTCACTACTGTGTGAGTAACGGATACACCGACACCTCCACTTGAAGGGGAAATCTGCTCGCTATCCATCCTACTCAATCACAGTAACACTAGCCACTGCCAGAGCTATCCCAGCAAGCTGCATTATGCGGACATAAATCGTAGAGTAACTTACCGACCTCTGATGGGTCAGAGCAGAGCCAGAGAATGTTACCTCTTAAACACAATCAAGCTCTGGCCTTCCTCCTTCCCTCTTTCTAAAGCCCAGGGGGACAATAAGTGTTGACTAATAAATAATTGAAGCGTAAGAACAGTAGCTGGCTCTGTAGATCAGGTTACAGTGGGTTCATAACGGCCGGGCTTAAGAGGTCGAGGGCTCCTGGACTGTTAAGAGCAGTTTATCTGTTGTGAGTTAGAGTGTGAGCAACAGAATAAGGACAGGAAACAGGCCATGACCGCATAAACCCACAGTATCACAGTCACAGCCTGGTTACAAATTTGCTTTGGCCACCAACACACAAAACATGTACAAACGAGCTTTCAGTTAAATAATGTTTGTTCAGGTGCATAACAGTGTACGCATTGACACCTGGAAAAAGAAGCCAGACTAGGTTTTGTTAATGTTGTTGCTTTTACTGTAGTTATTGTCCCTCACTCTACCTTGAAAAAATTAACACTTATCATTTTAAACAACTTAATGAATTGATTTCATAAACAAACAGATGAACCAATATACTAATTACAATTGTGCTTATAACAATATATTAAACAAATATTTATAAGTATTTATTTCTATAATTATATAAAAAAGTGAATAAGTGAAAAATATGTACATTTGTAAATATGTATTATTTAGATATTTAGTTATGTATACATTTTTATTAATTCATTCATAATAATTTTTATTTTAATGAATGTGTATGGCCACTATTTATGCACATAAAAATGATCAACGAGAGGTGTGAAGAATTGTGCTACTGCTGTTATTTTTCCCCATATTACGAACAAACAAATACATTAATTTAGTTGTTTATTAATTAAAAGAGTCAATTAATGAATTAATTCATCCATTTTAATTGTATTATTTATTCCAAAAACAATCAAATCTGTATATTTAAAATTATATTTATTTATTTATTTATATAGTAATGTATACATATTCATATAGTAATATTTATATAGTAGCCAATATGTTAATAAAATATGTAAAAATATAAATATTTATATAAATACTAATCAATTATTTCATTAATTTTTATGCATTTTTTTCATTGGTTGGTCCATGGTAAAAATGAATACTGTATATGGCCACTTTCTATATACATTAAAATGTTCAGTTAAATAAAGTGCAAGAAGAATTGTGGACTTATAAACCCTTGCATCAGATGTTTCTGCTATTACTATCGTTATATTTTCTACTCTGTCACTTTAAAAAAAAAAAGAAAACAGACTAATTTAAATAACTTATTTTAGTATACTCTGAATATAGCTATAGAATCACAGATGCATTTGGGTATATTCTGCTCGCTTGATCCAACAATACAATGAAAGATGCCTAATAAATGCAGTGTGTAAGTTGTAAAGGTCACAGGCTGCACCTTCCTGCAGCTATGAATGAAACCCTCACACCTTTCCTTATGAAATCTGGGCTCATTCATTAGAGAGCTCTCAGACACACAGCCGCCACTCTCTCTGCTCAACGACAGCTAATGTCGCAAGCTGAGGATTCCCTGAGCACTGTCAGTTGGACCAAAGGAGCTTCGCTGGGCCAGCGTGTCCTTGTTATCTACCCATCATCTGGGTATCATCAGCAGTGGCTGGGTAATGCTCCCCTTCCAGAGTGCTGCCAAAGGCTGGGCAGATGGACAGGTGGAGATAGTGACCAAGAAGTGGCGCCACGGTTGCTTTTATCACCAGTCGTGCAGGCTCCAGCTCCTCTGACCCTACCGTCCACATGCTGCATTTTTAATCAGCCAGGTCATCCAATCTAGAAGCAAGACCAGAGCTGTCAATCACAAAGCCCTCCTCGCTGCGAGTCCTCACAGTTTGAGGGTAAAGGCACGCGCCCCGCCCCTTTCTGAGACCGCTGAGCCTGGGAACGGTCTGCTACTGATGCCCCTCTGCTATCTCCAGCTCTCTTCTGCCATCTTTCTTTGTATTCTCCCCTTTCAGAGTGGCCTTTAACAAAGTAATTACAAAGAAAACGAAAGCCTGATGATAACATTAACGCCCAGCTTTATGTTCGATCCATAAAGAAGTTGCGTTCACTTCCTGCCTATAACTACTTTGCTGAGAAGACCTCAGTGATCAATCTAGCAAATGTATTCATTGAAACATTTGGTAATAAAAGGTTTCTTGATTTTGTCAACATTAATGAAGACAAGAAGAAAAAAGCACATCATTAAAAAATGATTTCAATACAAAAATGATGACAAGAAAAAATAACATCGCATAAAATGTAGTCTTGAATATGTCAGTGGCTGCTGTAATCAGATGAGTAAATGTTAATGAAAAGAGACAAAAGAAAGTGCATCACTATGATAATTCTTTAAATTAAAACAAAAACATGACAAAAAAAAAATAACATTGCAAGTTATTAAACAAATTTAAAAAGAGTTTTAAAATAGTGTTTCAAATAACCCAATCATGGTCAATAATAGTCAATAACCCAATCATAGTCATAGTCCTGTTAATACATTTAAATTAATACATAAAATATATGAATATTTTGCACTTTTGAACAAAAAATGTCATTTACTAAAATTAGATGCCATTTTAGTCAGACTGAAACTAAAATGATGACAAAAAATGTATGCATATAGACACACACACACACACACATATATATATATATATACTAATGGGGGGAGAATACTGCAAAACAAAACACACACTGGATACGTCAGTTGCTGCTGCTCGTGGTGCGACACAATGCAGCAAGCAATCAAATGTGGCACGTCGTGGGTTGCCCGGCACACTGAGGGCTGGGGGCGCAGGACAAACACGTCCACATGCATATGCACATACTCTCCTGAGTATCAGGTTGGTGAGGTTCAACTGTAATAGAAGTTCACAGGGCAAAGATCTCTGGCTTATTTTAATTCAACATTAGCGTTAATGCACTGAACAAGCTCATTATGCCTTTCTTTGCCCCCTGGTGGACCGCATCCATGCCGAGCCATTGCCACGACCGCTCACGCATGGCTATTTCATCACTCCGACACATGCATGGTGATTAGACCGACTTCCAGAGAATATTCTACCCGTTTAGCCTTGAGCACGTGGGCTTTAGTGGCAGAGAAGAAATGTGAAGCCTGGCCTGAAGGACCCAGACAGCTAATTACTCATTAATGTTTATGATTATCCAAGCTAACGCAACAATGCTGACTTATTCAAGATATATTAGATGTGTGGTCATCCGTGAGCCTTCTGCCCTCGAGTTGCATTCTCTTGCCTTTCATACGTCAACCCGAAGTGCTCTCTATGCAATTGTTATTAAATTACATGAGTTTAAAGCCACACTAATTGGTTTAATCTGAACGCTGGGTTAATTTGGCACTGGTTATGATGAGTTTCAGGGCATGTATGTACTAGCGAGTGACAAAGGCCTGATTCACAACACCAAAGGAGAAAACAAAAACGCTTCATCCACTGCTACGTCAAATGGAAAGGATTTATCTCTGCAATCGTTCAAGAACAGGCAGAGAGGAGAGATGGAGTTTACCGTTCATGTTTCTAGTGTTGTGGTGCACCAATAAGGGTTAAAAACAAACATCTCCAGTGAGACACACACACATACTTACATCCAGTCAGGAGGTATTGATAGTACTGCACAAAGTCTGAGGCAAGCACCAAGGGGTGGCTGCTGTTGAAAGGTGGTTGTAGCTCATTCCACTGCAGTGTCCTACTCAAAACAAACACAGAAATCAATTTAGGAAGTGCATATCAAAGGGCCAGATGTATATAACAGTCTCCAGCTGAGCTATAATGGACTCAAACTCTCCGCAGTCCGGTGGACCTTCCATTTCTCCTGTCTCATGTGGGCCACACGAGCTATACAGCTCAGTACATACAATCATTTAATATGTACAATCAGATCAGAAAGCCATTCTGAGAGCAATCCCTGCCTGTTTCCATTTTCTTCGCTTGGTCACAAGCATTATTGCATTATGACTGAGCTCAGCGTCTGGGTCGGTGACAAGCCATGATGTTAATCATTTGCTTGCCCTCATTAAGGCACCATATAAGCTGTTTTATGTAAATGATATGACTGCAGTGGGTCGTGTCAGGAGCTTATGTCGGACTGAAGGTGAAGTGTAAAAGCACGTAAATAGGTGTGGTGCTGAGAGCCTCGGGGCAAGACCTGGCTAGATTCCAACAGGCTCTCGGACAGGTGTTCAACTCCAGAGGCGTGTCATCGCCTATCTTTTGCGCCGTGCTGATTGGACGAGGCTCCAGCACGTGCTCCACCAGGTTTCCGTAGCAACTCAGGATGTACAGCGATTCAACAACAGCCTGGCGAGACTGATCTAACAGGGAAGAAAAGTCAAGACTAAGTTATTGAAGATTAAGATTTTGGTTTCTAACATGAGCTCAATTTTTTTGTGGATTTTGTGGAATAGATTTTGCAGTTCCATTTGGTACCACTTCAGAGATAAAAGAATTAAACGAAAAGAGGATACCAGAGCTTCTAATAAATAATAAATTAATAGAACATAAAAATATAATATAATAACTAAAATACAATAAAAATAAATATTTTTTTCTACCCACCAATAATCAAACCAGTTAATTAAACTAAAGCTTAAAAATTATGTCTAAATAAAGCAATGTCAGACCTTTCTCTCTCTTCATGTTGGGGTTGGTGATGAACCAAGAGTGGGAGGAGGCGAAGACTGCAGCCACGCAGAACTCCCCACCGCTGGACTTACTGGGAGAGATCTGGGGAGGTGGCTTGGATTTGCTACATTAAAAAAAAAAGAGGTCACGAATGACAATAAGTATATAGAGAATGAGTGAGAAAGAAAGAAAAAAAAGAAAGAAGGAAAGAGAGAAAGAAAGAAAGTCTGCTTTTGGTGACTGGCATCCAGAGTAAAACAGGAAAATTAAAGCCACATTACTGACAAGAAAAGAGACACAGTTGGGATGTAAAAAATCAAGACAAAATTTCCTGCATATGAATGAAATCTCTCAAGAGTTTCAAACAAAAAATGCACGTCCACAAACAAAATACTGGGCTTGTAAACAATAAACATAATACACATTCATACTTCATGCAAGTAAAAAAAAACAAAAAAAACAAACATTTATTTGGCTTATTAGTTCACTACAACTGTTTTTAGATGTTTAAGTGTAATCTGGAAGACACAGTTTACAATATGTTTATGTGTACACATGTTAATGAGAAAATATTTATGTTTAAATGTATTTAAATTAATTTAAAAAATGCATATTATTAAAAATGTTGCTTTCGACAGGATTCTTATTTCACTTTGTATTGGCCAAAATAACCACATTAAGTTTCATTTAGCAAGCAAAATTTCATCTCAGTTGTCGAAACCAGAAAACCGCTAGCTGATGTTTTAAATTTCTGTCCAGTGGATATAATGATGTTGTTAAAGCTTAACACATACATATACACTCCAGGAGTCTGTACAGATACCACATAATGGTGGACATTTGTTTATATAGCTGCTTCAAATGGAAGCTTTTAAGCTTCTTTGGAAGGCATCATTTTAGTCTTGGCATTTGAGAAAAATTATTAAGGACCTATTGAATTATTCCTTACGTCAGTAAGATTTTGAAAAAGCCAAGGAGAAAAATAAGCTGAGCGATAAGGACTCACATATGGAATTTATTCTAGAACAGAAGCCATGTGGTGTCACTGTCCGACTCCCGCACAAACCCGCACTGTAAAAACCTGCCCTCCATATCTCAAACATACAAGAGACTCCCAAAACACTGACTATTAGCCGTTTCACACAGAAACACACTTCAGATACCATCAGCCATGCAGATATACACACTCAAATACACACAAATGGATGTGAATGGGAGCAACAAATTATTACGAGTTTCAATTTAATAACTAAATTACTAAACTGAACTAAATGTAATTCTACAATATAAAAAATTGACATCAGAACAATTCAACAAGATTTTTGCTACTCATCCGCAGTGAGTGAAACCTCGGCTGCATCTCAAACCACACTTACTCCACAAAATGGGCCATTCACACGGAACACATTTGTGCATTCAAAAAACATGAAGAGAAAAGAAGAGAAACCGAATGGATGAAATACTCGACACGGCATCCTAAATATGGAGTACTCAATGCACAAGATGATGAAAAACAGCAAGAAAAACAACGTACTGATTTCTGAAGCAATCCTATGTTGCATCTTTTCAGTATTTTCATCTTTCAAAATGTATTAAGAATTTATTAAATAGAACACTTTTAATTATTTGAAATTGTAATATTTCACAATATTAAATTTTTTTTTTACTGTATTTTTGATCAAATAAATTCAGCCTAGATAACCATAAGAGAAAAAAAAAAAATCATACCAACCCCATACTTTAGTTTCTAATATTTATATTGTTCTAAAGCTAAATCAAATGATTAATATATTATCTGGAAAAAATATTGGTAATGTTATAACCTGTACATGCATGATGAATATAACCTGATGAACATCTCCAATTTAATGTAATTTAATTCAATTTTAAAGTTAATATTTAATCCCAGAACATTCCATGGACCGCAGACACTGCCTTTTAGTTTGCAACCCCTGATATATGTGATTAATTGCTATGAATTTTATTAATTCATCAGCATGTAATTCATTCAATTCAAATATGTAATCGATTGAAAGCCCTAGTCATTATGCATTAAAAGAGAAGATAACTGCAAAACAAAACTGCCGATTGTAATGAAATTGTCGCAGACCGTGGAGTCTGGACTGAGAGTTAATGTGGATGAATTGTCCAGTGTTTGAACCGGGACTCTTCAAGCCTTGCATTACACTAATAGGTGTTGAGTGACCTGTTGCTGAGCTGCACTCTCACTCCGTCACTTCCCTTAAAACTGTCATCAAGTCGTAAATTACTCTCAGGATGAGGAGTGATGTTGACATCTTTGTTTAGCCGACACCAGGCGAGGATTGCTGGTCAGGAAAGGCTAAAGACAAAAAATACAAAGTAAAGAAAAGCAGGGAGAGATATTGGCACATATTTATTGGTGTTGGACGGAGGTGGAGCGAATAACTAAATATCTGAGCGGTGTGAGCCGCTGATGGGGAGATACGAGCGGTTTGTCAGTATATCACCTTGGCCGGAGCAGCCGTGAACGTCTCACTGTCTGTCAGTGTAGAACAGAGGACATGGCACTAAATAAACACACTCAGCCGCCACAGGATTTAAAGAGCAGAGCACAGTGAAGTGCACGGTTTTTCTTTTTCTCCCTCTAATAAAACCAGGAATCCCAAGTGGGATAACGAGGAGAGAAGACAACAGACATTTTGATAACCTCAGATCTTTAGAAATGCCGCTTCCTTTACCCTGACCATCGCGGAGCATAGAGAAAAACACGGAGTGTAGCTCAAAGAAGCATTTAAATCCTTCCTGTTCCACCATGGAGTTCAAGGCAGTGAGGAAAGTGAAGGAGCTTAGCAGTTTTCCAGTCTGGGATGCAGGTGAGGAGCTGGCTTTTTCAGGTTTGGAGGAGCTGATGCACTTTCTTGAAGGAAAACTGTGAAGGATGGGTACACAGATGTTCTTAATAACAAAACCAAATCAAACTCAGTGTGACTAAACATTTATTCCTTTGAAATCACAGGCTGACACTGTCCGCCACAAATCTGAGAGGAAATTGTATCCGTTTCAAAGTGCTTTGCATAATAAATCTGGAAATATTCGTTAAAAGGTATATAATGTTATGCCAGTAATGATGATGAGACGAAAAACACTGCAAAGAGCCAGTCTGAGTTAAAAGCTGGGCATTACTTTGAGCGCTCCTCTCCTAGCGGTGGGACTAAAGCTGGCCAACTATGGTAAAAGCTCTTTGAAGAGGCTTTGGTCAGCAGATGATTTGGTCAACATGTTCTTATTTGAGTGCACTTTACACTTGCATTGCATCTGAATTTCCTTGAAGCGACCGCTGGAGTTGGTTTGCCTGTATTTGAAATCACTCTTTTCCTCTGGGTCTCACTTAAAGTGGCTAGTATGACTCAAGCTGCAGTGATTCAGCGGGCCATTTGAGCGAACGGATTATTCTAAATAAATATTGGCATGGGGAGCGGCTTACACAAAAATGTATCCGAAAATCAATAAATTATGAAACATAAACATATTTAGTGAGATGGAGGAGAAGGGAAGACAGACGTTACTAAACAGAAGCCAATTTTGTCTTCCCCCTATTGGCATTTCCTCTGCTGCTTCTAGAGTGTTTTTCCTCTCTCTCTCTAACTAATTCACTGAAAAGACTCCTTGCATGTCATTTCCACTTTTAATTTAACATATGAGGACTCTTGACGTGAGTTAATAGCTTTTCCTCAAGGGCATAATTCAATCTGTGATGTCCACCATCAAAGCCCGGCCACATTACAGTCCAGGCCACAGACGAGGCGCCATCAGGGGGGAAGCAGCCCCTCATTTGTTTTCAATGTAATGGCGGGCTTTAAACAACAAAAAGGAGCACGGATCTCATTTGAACTTATCAGGGGACTTGCCGTGACAAGCTGACCATATGGTCGCTGTACATCAGCCAGCGGGGTCTGTGTTACAGCGCTCATGAAAGGGTCGTGCAGAATGCAGGCATTTCTCTCAACGTCACATTTATTATCTCACAGCAGCTTTTCCTCAGACACGGCTCGGGCACACGGCCACGGTCCACACACACACTGTGGTAGCCATTTGGGAGGCCGGCATCAAACGCTAAAAGATAAACAGAAACTTTTCCCCTCCATTTCCAGTGTTCCAGCTCATTGGGATATCGTTGAGGAAGGTGCCTGATTCGGCATGATTTCCCTTTTCCTTAGCGAGCTGTCGGAAAATATGCGTTCCCCAGGTGTGAGCGCAGCGGTCTATGGTATTTACAAGCCACCAAGTTTTGAGGTGTGTGATGGTTGTACTTATTCGTTCTCTGCTCTTCTGAGTAGAGGACACTTTCAAAAATAAAAGCAGGGGGGGGGGGAAATTAAGTTGTCATAACCTACATCAATCAAAACCTTTCCTGAACTACACAAGATCTCTCTGTTATCCTGAAAACAGAGCAAACCAAATTAGTTCGGGAAGTAAAAATACATGATTTTCTCCATGCAGAAATAAATGTATAGCATAATGTATAATCCCAAAACATCTGCATTTTCTGCAGTATTTAAAATCTATTGTTTTTATACACCTAAAGAATGATTAAAAGTCAATTGCCTAAAATCATACTTTTTTTCTGATTATTTATTCATGATTATTTGAAAATGCAGTAAATTAACAGGAAAAATAGGTAACTGAAAAAGCATATTTTTATAGTATTATTTTGTACGCTTTTTCAGTCGACTTTTGGTTTAATTAAATTAAATTTGCTTTAATTCATAAGCTGTTATCACAAAATCGTATGATCCACCATTTGTATTTGAGCTGCAATTTTCCATCTTTTTCCTGCGTGGGAGTGTTTTGTTTTGGAACACTTGATGATACTTAATAGTTCCATGTGATATTAAGCACACTGTTCACTTCTCTAAAAGGAAAAACTAATTAACATTTAATACAACATCTAAATCAATCATATGATTCTGATGAAATGCGGAGCTCCAGTTGTGTCCCACATTAATGTGCCTAGCCCAGTCAAGAGGAAGCTATGGGGAATATTAAGATTTATCATGTTAATGATAAGGCTTTGAAACGCATACGTCCTCTGAGATCACAGTACAGCACTGCAGGAAAAAGATCTAATTGAAACGTATGTGA